TTTAACTCCGAATTAGTTTAAATTCATTAAAAAAGTTGACCCCAAGTCAAAATTTACACTAGGCTACATCGGTCATTTCTGTTTCTCATCACTCATTTAAGAAAAAGTCAGCGTTATGGTGCTCAAAGTCCGAGAAACCGCCTCTATCTTACTCAACCTTCTTGAATCACGTGATATCCGTAATCTCCTCAACCTACTCATCGCACTCAACCAACGTCACTGCTCATCCTACGCATCCTACTCATCCTACTCTTAAAGGAAAAGATTAATTGTATGAGTTTAACAATCATTATTTTAAAACTTTTATTTAAAACAGGAGCTTTCGATTACAACTGTAATCATCGTCAGCTACATTTAATGTTTTAAGGGCCCCCTCCCGCAGAAATTATCTCCGACACCGTACACCCGATCTTCACGAAACTTTCCATAAATGGTAGGCACAATGAGTTACGGGAATGAAAAAAGGTTTTTGTCTCCAAGTGTTACAGTTTAGGAGTTTTCCAGAGATCAAGGTCCAAAAAGGACCCTGAACGGCGTCCCAAGATATTTTAATATACTTCAAGCTGGAGAGTTCGGGTTTGTTTTATTTTAAACTAGACACCTAACTACATCGACTTACCGGCGCCGATTTTTCAATTAAGCCTTTATCCGTTTTGCAGGCAATCAACCAGCTCCAAAACCCGAAAAAGCTTTCCGGATTTTCTAAAAATCCTCTGTTTGACAAAAAACTAAGACCTAATTCAAAAATCGACGCCCGTCAGTCGATGTAGTTTCTTTTCCTCTTTTAAAGAAAAAAAGAATGAACTCTCTACGACAGACCGCTATTAAAAATCTTGAGACGCACTTCAGGTGTAACTCTTATATAGTGAAAACGCTGTATGAAATACTCGATTTTAGGACTTCTAGGCAAATGCCTAAAACTTTTTGACGCAAGGTCATACAGAGTTGTGTGCAGTCTTATTTTGATCAGAACCGTTTGCTCTACAAAGCTGTGTTTTCAGAAAAACCCCAATTGCATAAGTATCCAGCAAAAAACCATTATTTGAAGACCCGTTTTTTCGAGGCTTTTAGAAAACTTGTTCAAAATCCCCGAAAAATCACTTTTGTAACCAAAAGCAATACAGACTCTGGAAGTAGACACTTCAGGCTATCTTTCCATGTGCGTAAGTCAAAACCGGTCTTTTGACCCAAAAATCACCATTTGCGTTCAAATTAAAGTTTTAAAACAGTGATTGTTGAACTCATACAACTAATCTTTTCCTTTGTGAAATTATTATCATCCTACTCAACCTACTGTTCTTGGATCACGTGATATCCGTAATCTCATCAATCTACTCATCGCACGCAACCAACATCACCTGCACATCCTACTCATCATACTCATCGCACGCAACCAACGTCACCTGATCATGCTACCCATCAGAGTCATCCTACTCATCTTGCTCATGCTGCAAACTTGCAAACAACTGACGTCATCTAACCAAGGTCAAGGCAACCAACGTCACCTGATCATGCTACTCATCAGACTCATCGTACTCATCTTGCTCATGCTGCAAACTTGCAAACAACTGACGTCATCTTACCAAGGTCAAGGCAACCAACGTCACCTCATACTACTTATTACATACACATCTGTAACCAACTCATGCATTTTGAGATTATTTTCACCCGTATTTTGACCATTGTTTCACGATAAAGTGTGTAACAGAATTGTGATAGCTCTGCATATTATGCCTCCATATAAGAAATTCGAACGTTTTCTTAGTCAGCCTGATGGTAATGGTAAACGAATTAAACTTTCTCGATCAAATTCATTACAACATGTCACTCCTTGTGGAAAAATTGCTATTGTTGGCGTTGGATCGCGTGGTTTAACTATTCTAGAGCGTCTGACAGCCATTTATGATGAACAACTTCATTATTATGAATTGGATATTTATTTAATTGATCCTGGACGGTATCATGGTCAAGGTGTTCATTCGTCAGAACAAAGTGACAATTTATTAATTAACACAGTAGCATGTCAAGTGACTATGTTTGGTGATGAATCAGTGCTCAATTGTGGACCAATGAGAAAGGGGCCATCACTGTTTGAATGGGCTAAAAACATCAACAATGAACAATGTAAAGGAAGGGAAATCAAAGAAAATGATTATCTATCACGCGCATTACTTGGTAAATATTTAAAGTGGTGCCATGATGAACTTGTAAATAATTTGCCCAAAGGTATCCGTGTACATCACTATTATGAAACGGTGAATGATCTTCAGCGATTAAATGATGGTCGCCTGAAATTGTTTCTAGCAAATGATTGTACACTTTATGTTGATTGTGCAATATTGACTACAGGTCACGGACAGAATTTTCTGGACAATGAAGAAAACATATATACAAAATTTGTAGAAGAATGTTGTTCAATTAATCCTCATTTAAACTATTTTCGTTCTTATCCACTAAACCAACTTCAGTCCATTGATAAACATGCGAAAATTGCTATTCAAGGATTGGGTCTTTCTTGTCATGATGTTCTATCTGAATTGACTTG